CTGTGACTCATAGTGACCCTGTGTACAACAGAAAGAAACACTGCTTGGTCATGCACCATCCTCACAATCCTTGCTATGCCTGAGCCCATTATAGCTTGCACTGTGTCAATCCTTCTCGTTGAGGGATTTCCCCTTTTTTGCTGACCCTCCACTTTACAAAGCATGATATCCTTCTCTAGGAAATGGTCCCATGTGACAACATGACCAAAGTAGGTAAGATGAATCTGGCCATTCTTGCTTCCAAGGAGCATTCTAGCTTCACTTCTTCCAGGACAGATTTGTTAGTTCTTTTGGCAGTCCAAGGTACTTGTAGTATTCTTCACCAATACCAGAACTCAAAAACATTAACTTTTCTTCAGTCTTTCTTATTTACTGTCCAGTTTTCATATGTATATGAGGCTACTGAAAATGCCATGGTAGGGGTTATGCGTATTTTAGTCTTCAAAGAGAAATCTTTACTGTTCAGCACTTTCAAGAGGTCTTTTGCAGCAGATTTTCCCAGTGAAATATGGCATCTGATTTCTGAACTGCTGCTTCCATTGGTGTTGATTGTGTATTCAAGTAATATGAATTCTTTGACAACTTCAATCTTTTCTCCATTTTTTTATGAGGCTGCTTGTTGGTCCAGTTCTGAGAATTTTTATTTTCATTATGTTGAATTGCAATCCACACTGCAGACTGGTGTCTTGAATCTTCATCAGTAGGGGCTTCAAGTCATCTTGACTTTGATTAAGCAAAGTTGTATCACCAATCTATTGCAGATTGTTAATGAGTCTTCCTCCAATCCTGATGCCCTATTCTTCTTCATATAGTCCAGATTTTCACATTGCCAGCCACTCCTCGGAAGGAAGGTTGGGTGATCTACTTCCGTAGTGATACTGCCTCAGAAACCCAAGGAGGGGTCACTATGAGTCAGGTCCGACTCAACAGCACATAACACACATAATAACAGATTGTATACAACCCCGACACACACTCTGCTTGATTTTTAAACCATGCAGTATCCATCCCTTGTTCTGTTTGAACAACAGCCTCCTAGTCTACGTACTGGTTCCTCATGATTAAATTTAAGTGTTTTGGAATACCCATTCTTGTCAATGTTATCCCTAATCTGTTATGATCCACACGGGTGAATGCTTTTGTATTGTAAATAAAACACAAGTAAACATCTTTCTGGTATTCTTTGCTTTCAGCCAACATCCATCTGACATCAGCAATGATATCCCTCATTATAAGTCCTCTTCTGAACCCAGCTTGCATTTCTGGAAGTTTCCTATCAATATACTGCTGTGACAGTTTTTGAATTATCTTCAGCATAATTTTACTTGCATGTGATATCAATGATATTGTTTGATAATTTTCACATTCTGTTGGCTCACTTTTCCTTGGAAAGGGTACAGATATGAATCTCTTCCAGTCAGTTGGCCAGGTAGCTGTCTTTCACATTTCTTGGCATAGCTGAGTGAGTGCCTCCATCACAGCATCCATTTGTTGAAACATCTCCATAGGTATTCAGCCAATTCCTGGAGTCCTTTTCTTTGCCAATTCCTTCAGTGCATCTTTGACTTCTTCCTTCAATACCATTGGTTCTTGATCATATATCACCTCCTGAAATAGACAAACATCAACCACTTCTTTTTTGTACAGTGACTCTGCATTCTTTCCATCTTCTTTTGATGTTTTGAATCATTAAATATTGCCCACATAGTCTTTCAATATTGCAACTCAAGTCTTGATTTTTTTCTTCAGTTCTTTCAGCTTGAGAAATGCTAGACATCATATTCTTTCCTTTTGGTTTTCTAACTCCAAGTCTTTGAACATTTCATTATAATAATGGACTTTGTTTTCTCAAGTTGCTCTCTGAAAACTTCTGTCAGCTCTTTTATATTGTCATTTCTTCCATTTGCTTTAGCTACTCTCCATTCAAAAGCAAATTTCAGAGTGTCTTCTGACATCCCTTATGGTCTTTTCTTCATTTCTTGTCTTTGTATTGACCTTTTCCTTTTCCTGTATGATGTTCTTGATGTCATCCCACAACTTGTCTAGTTTTTGGTCACTGGTGTTCTATGTGTCAAATCTGTTCTTCAGATCTTCTCTAAATTCAGGAGAGATATAATCAAGGTCATATTTTGGCTCTCGTGGACTTGTTTTAATTGTCTTTAGCTTCAACTTGATTTTGCATATGAGCAATTGGATGTTCCGTTCCACAATCATCTTCTGCCTTGTTTTGGAGCTTCTCCATTGCCTCTTTCCACAGATGTAGTTTATCTGATTCTTGTATGTTCCATCTGGTGAGGTCCATGTGTATAGCCACCATTTATGTTATTGAAAAAAAAAAAGGTATTTGAAATAAATAAGTCATTGATCTTGCAGAATTCTATCATGTGGACTCCAGCAGCATTTCTATCACCAAGGAAGGATTTTCCATCTACTGGGGAGTCTTCTTTGTTTCCAACTTTCTCCATCTAATCACCAGTAATAATCAATACATCTTGGTTGCATGTTTGGTCAATTTCAGACTGCAGAAGTTGGTAAAAATCTTTAAGTTCCTCATCTCTGGCTTTGGTATTTGTTGTGTAAATTTGAATAATGGTAATATTAACTGGTCCTCCTTGTAGGTGTATGAATATTATTCTATCACTGACAGCATTGTACTTCAGGATAGATCTTGAAACATTCTTTATGATGATGAGTGCCATGCCATTCTTCCTCAATTTCTCATTTCCAGTACAGTAGACCATATCATTGTCTGATTCAAAATGGCCAGAACCAGTCCATTTCAGGATATCCATGTTTGTGCATTCCATTTTGTTTTTGACAAATTCCAACTTTCTTACATTCATACTTTGTATGTTCCATGTTCCAATTATTAATGGATGTTTGCAGCTGTTTCTTCCCATTTTGAGTCATAACCCATCAACAAATGGAAGTCTCCAAAGCTTTACTCCATTCATATCATTAAGTTGATGCTACTTTGAGGAGGCAGCACTTCTTCAGTCATATTTTGAGTGACTTCTGACCTGATGGGCTCCTGTTCTGGCACAATATCAGACAATGTTTCAGGACTATTCATAAAGTTGTCCAGCAATATATCAGATAGCATATTCACCACATTTTCACTGGTCAATTCTTTGAGAAGTGTATGGCCCCTTCCTTCTTCTGAGTCTGCTTAGTCTGGAAGCTCTGCTGAAACTTGTCCACCATAGGTGACATTGCTAGTATTTGAAATACTGGTGGCATAGACTCCTGCCTGACAGCAACATGCAAGCCACCAAAATACAACAAACAGACTAGAGGTGGTCTGAAAGCTTTGTTGTTGTGTTGTTGTTAAGTGCCGTCAAGTCGTTTCTGACTCATAGTGACTGCATGTACAGCAGAATGAAACACTGCCCGATCCTGTGCCAGTCCCACA